CGGCGGGCCAGGCGGGCCCGACAAAGGCTCCCTTGGAGGTCCTGTGTGACAGGCGCCAGCTGGAAGATGCTTACGTGGCCACGCATGGGACCCCGAAGCCGAGGTTGGAGTTCCAAGGTAGTGATGGCTACCTCAAGAAGCAATGGCGCTTGATTGCCAAGGGCGAGCTGGGCTACATCCCGGCAAAACACATCGTGAGCGCGCTCCCGGAAGAAGGGGAACGCCCCTCATCCACCCACAAGAAGATCACGGTGGACGGCTGGGACAGGGAGGATGAAGAAGAGGTGAGGAGCCACCCTACATCTCGGCGCCAGCTGGAACGATTGCACCTAACCTTCAGGACGACGCTCCTGATGTGCACGGCAGCACTGCCACAGTTTGGCAACCTGAGGGTCACCAAGGAGGAGTTGGATGATTGGCATGCCTCGTTCTATGGGGAAGACATAGCCGGCAGGAAGCCTCCCCCGAGCGACACCACCTTGCTGTTCGCAGAGCGCAATGCATGGCGCAAGATTCACGAGATGGTGCACCAGGGCACCACTCTCTCCGAAGCCCTCACTTCCTCTTCTGGCAACGGGAGGTCTATGAGCACCTCAACAGGGCGCCGGTGGCAGACTCAGTGGGAGAAGCCCAAGAAGGGGGGAAAAGGATCCTGGCCCTCGGGGCCGACCCGGTCCAAGCCGAAGGGCAAGGGCGGCAAGGGGAAGTCCCCCAACACCCCCTCGACCCCATGGCCGGACCACTGGGCTTTCAAGAATCCCAAAGGGGTGGCGTACTGCAGAGATCATCACCTTCACAACAAGTGTTCGGGATCATGCGGCCGATCCCACAACTGCCCGGTCAGGAAGGATGGGTGGGTGTGTGATGCCCCCCCATCGAAGCATGTGCCACAGGCATGCCCACACCTTCCCAAGTGACAGGAGGCCACTCAGGGTGCCATAGGCCCCGTGGCTTCCTGGTCTCCGTTGGGATCACAGGCCAGTGCGAGAGTGCACACAGCGGGGGAGAGCCAACCCCACCAGAGCCACAGCGGAAGGCAGACAGAGCGGGGGAGGCCAGGACGGCCGCAGGTGGGAGGGGATTTCTCCAGGGTGCCACCGGCCACCGAAGAAGAGGAGCGGACCCAGCCAGGGCACTCCAGAAGGGCGGAAGCACCCCTTTCCCCCAGGCAGTGGGAAGAACCCCCAGAGAGACCTAGAGGTGAGGATCCGCTCGGCAAGGGGCGTTCCAAGGGCGGGCAGAACTGCCAGGGCAAGCAGCAAGCCCAGGGACAGATGACCGGAGGGTCAGACAAAGGACACACGGAATCCCCAGGGGGGGCAAGCCCCACCTTCCCATGGATGCAGGACGCCGGAAAGACTGAGGCTCAGACTAAGGTGGACGCCACGTCCGGTGCCGGTGCTGGGAGATGAGCCTTACTCTACGATGTGCTCCATGGCCATGGCGGGCAAGGTCGCCTTTGTGGGGGGCGGCCCCAACTGCAGGACGTGGAGCATTCTCAGATGGTTCCCCAAACCGGGTGGCCCGCCGCCGGTGACAGCGTGCTCATGCTCCGACAGATGTACCTGACCTCGCTGGCCTACCAGGGGCTAGGTCAACTAACGGTCCCGCAGGTGGGCTCCTCCTTCTTGGAGCACCCAATGGACCCAATGGAGTGCAGCAAGAGCCCGAGCGCAGCGAGGTGCTCATCGATCTGGGTCACACGGGCCTACATTCAATGGGCGAACGCACTCCACCACTCCCTCATCAAGTTTGACGAGTGCCGCCTGGGCCAGGTGGTAGTGAAGTCCACGACATTGTCAACGGACCTTCCCCTTCACCATTGGCATGATCTGCGATGCAACCACGGAGCTCACCCCAGGGGGGAAAAGCTCAACTCCAGTGACCTCAGCCGGTATCCAGAGCAGATGATGCAGGGTCTCGCAGCGGCCATCCTTTGCAGAGCGGGACCCGTCCTGGAGGCGCTGAGGCCGGGGGCATGGTGCCCCAGGCGAACCCAACGACCCCCCCGAGGCGACAGAGGGAACCTTCTCCCAGCACGCCGGGGGACAACACGCCAGTCCCGGAGGCTGAAGGCCGGCCAACAAGCGTTGGCGGGACTAACCTTGGGCTCACTTCCGGTCTCGGCCTCAGACAATCCGGAGGTCCGGACACCAACACAGCCGGCTGGCGGGATGGTCGAACTTCGGGGTGGAATCTTTCCCCTGGCCATTGCATGGAGATCTCGGATCGGCCCACCACCCTGCCGATCACGCACGACCCAAATCTCTCCGACAAGGTTATGTACCTCCAGATGGCCTTCAAACAGCGCCCCCTAAGGGACGGGGGTGGGAAGCCCTCACTGGGACGGCTGGCCCCGTGGACTCGGCCACTGTCCAAAGCAGCAGCGATTGGGGCCAAGATCTGTGTCCTCACTTCGCCATGGGGGGACAAGCTCCAGGAGTCGCTCTCGTTGGGGGACGGGTCACATCCCTTCCCGGAGGACCTGCTGGAGGATATCAGGGAGATCCTGGCGCCGGGGGCAGGCCGACCAGCTGAAGGCCACCCTTCTTCCTGGACATCTTGCACAGCGTGGCGCTGAACATTCAGGACCCCGACCACCAGTTTCCTCGGGATCTGGAACAAGTGGTCCCACTGGGGGTCACGGACCCACCCTGGCCTCGCCGGGCATTTGGCATTCAAGAAGGAGCTAAAAGGGGAGGATTTTCATGGGCATGGTAGAGGGCCCCTTCACCAAGGTGGAGGCAGCATTGCGCTGTGGCTGCGAGATTGAGGACCTTTGTCCCGGCCCCCTAGCGGGCATCGACGAAGGGGACAAGATCCGCACCATCTACGATGGCTCGGTGGGCGGGGCCAATGACACCATCAGGAACCAGACGGTGGAAAGGACGACGGCTCCGACGGTGCTGGATGGGGTACAAGCTCTTCATTGGCTACATGCGGCAGCTGCGGAGGGACCTCCCTCTCAGGGTGCCCCTGGCCCCGAGAAGGAGGTCGTCAAACCTCCACCCGAGGGCTGGCTATGGCCGGAGCCGGGCACCAGGTGGGTGCTGCTCAAGGCGGACGTCACCAAGGCCCACCGGAGAGTGAAGGTCCTCAGGAAGGACTGGCGGTTCCAGGTGGCTTCACTGGGGGAAGAATGGTGGGTGAACAAGGTAGGCACATACGGCATGGCCAGTGCCCAATCCTACTGGGGACGCCTGGCAGCCCTTCTACTCAGGGTCCTCTACGCACTTTTCCCTCAAGTGGATTGGAACTTCGTCTTTGTGGATGACTTCCTGTGGCTGCTTCGCAGCGAGGGGGCAGTAAACTTGGCGGTGGCGCTGTTGGCAACACTCCTGGCCTTGGGCACCCCGCTTAGCTGGAAGAAGACACATTTGGCGGAGGTCAACACGTGGCTGGGCTTCGTGGTCCACCCGAACATCCCGCAATTTCTCATGCCAACAAACACATCCTGGTAATGGAGGTCTTGCAAACCATGGTGGAAGGGCAGGCGATGCACTCAAAGGACATCGAGAAGGCCCTGGGCCGCATCCAATGGGCAACTGCTGCATGTCCGCTGGCGAAGTCGATGCTTCACCACGGTGGGGAAACCCCCCAAGGTGGTCAGGATGCTGGCGTTCATGCTGCGGTTCCTCTTCAACACGCCCTTCGTCCAGTACTCCCCTTACTTGCCGAAGTCCTCTTGGTGGGGTTGCAGCGATGCTAGCGCCTCGGACGAAGGACTGGCATTTGTGGGAGGATGGTGCTCCAACAAAATAGGTGTACTGGTTCCACGAGCAGATCCACGTGGAGGAGTACCCTTGGGCACCCAAGCGGAGGATTGCGGCTTTGGAAATGCTGGGCACGCTCTTCCTCTGTAACATGATCCTCACGCACCAGGGCCCTCTGTCCTCCCGGGTCCGACTCCCGGTGGGCAGTGACAATCAGGGCAACGTCATGGCGATGCTCAACCTTGGATCCAAGAAGCCCTACACCGCGGCGATCCTGATGGAGCTGGTCTTCCTGCTCCACACCCATGGCTGCTCGCTGGCGGCCAACCACGTGCCCCGGGAATTCAACCAGTGGGCTGATGAACTGACGCACCCAGATTTCTCTGGGTTCGACCCTTTGCACAGGGTCCCCAAACAGGAACTCTGCGAGGAGTTCGTTTTTCTCCCGCGTCTCCTGAATGGAGATGCATTTGATCTTAGCGTGGGCCCACCCATGCTCCCGTGACCGGAGCCGGTGGGTGACTCACTTCCCCTGGTGGCAGACCCCCCTGTGGCCTGGGTGCCCCGGGCCCCGGCTCAGGGGCGGGCGCTATCAGTCTGCACACCCGTTCTTCAGTTTTTGAGAGTTTGAGGTGGGTGGCCCATGGGGCCCACCCAGCCGTTGACATCTGACAGGGGAAGATGAGTCCCTAGCACCAACACATTGCTCGGATAAAAGAGTTATCGCGTGCTTGTGTGGTGCCGTTTGGTTAGCTTACATACACATTTTGAGATTTTTTGCTCCCCTTCCAACGTCAACCAAGTTAGAGGAGGTTTGGCAAAGTCTATGACCACGGCGGCTTCAGTGCCTTGCGTCCTGCCGGCCGATGTGCCCAAAAGCTGCACGGAAACACCACAAAAGCGGGCGGGGTACTTGGTACGCGGGTGGTCAGTAACCATGAGAACGCACCCTTCTACTTGTAATGGAACCCCGGATGAATATCAGTGTGAACATCAATCCCCACCTAAAGTGTACAAGTAAAATTCATTTCATGTTTCTTACAGCCATAGCCACAAAGCAGCAAGTCGCCTGCCAACTCATGTTCAGTTTTGGGGGAGGGCCCATTCCTACGCCCAAGGAAGCTTCATGTCGGGGACCCCCGGGAAGCCAAAGCGATCTGGGATGGCTCAAACTTAAGTCACAGATGTCCACTCCCAAAGCACCACCAAAACAACACAGAACCACTATGGCCCCATAGAAAGTGTGTACACCCCGCTTGGGTGGACATCCGAGAATTCGCATCCGAGGATTGCGAGATGTCGTTCGTGTGCCAGGACGGACCCACTAGTCGTGCGCTCGCTTTGGTCGACTGAAAAAGGACGTCGGAGTCAGAGCATGTTATTTTGGCACCACAGATCTTTTGAGAAAATCCGCCCGTTTTGTTTTCCTCTTGGGCAACCAGCACCCCTCCTGGAAGAGAGCCGCACTCTGAGGTGAAATCGGGTCGTGATTTGGGCATGGCTGCACGGGCTCCCTTGAAATTTTCATGAAAGGGGGCAGACACACACACACCAAAAAAGAGAGTGTGCTGGCCTTAAAGAGGGAGCCTTTCGGAGCTAGCAAGAGTTCTGTATGGTGACATGGTAAAGGGAGCAGCACATTTGTTTGGGGTCTCCCAAGTTTGACACATGAGATCTGCATCAGGACGACATCCTGAAACTCTTCGAGGGCATGATCCGCCACGTGTTCAAAAGCAGCTTGTCTGATGCCTCGTTGCTTTGGAAATCCATTTCCAAACGAAGGTTCTGCCCCACCAAAGGCCAGGAAGTTGCTCAGTTTCCTTTGGTCTCCTTTCCTTTGGTCTCCTTTGGTCTCCTTTGGTCTGTTTTGGTCTCCTTTGGTCTCCTTTGGTCTCCTTTGGTCTCCTTTGGTCTCCTTTGGTCTCCTTTGGTCTCCTTTGGTCTCCTTTGGTCTCCTTTGGTCTCCTTTGGTCTGCTTTGGTCTCCTTTGGTCTCCTTTGGTCTCCTTTGGTCTCCTTTGGTCTCCTTTGGGTCTCCTTTGGTCTCCTTTGGGTCTCCTTGGTCTCCTTTGGTCTCCTTTGGGTCTCCTTTGGTCTTTGGCCTCCTTTGGGCCTCCTTTGGCCTCCTTTGGCCTCCTTTGGCCTCCTTGGCCTCCTTTGGCCTCCTTTGGTCTCCTTTGGTCTCCTTTGGTCTCCTTTGGTCTCCTTTGGTCTCCTTTGGTCTCCTTTGGTCTCTTTTTGGTCTCCTTTGGTCTCCTTTGGTCTCCTTTGGTCTCCTTTGGTCTCCTTTGGTCTCCTTTGGTCTCCTTTGGTCTTTTTTGGTCTCCTTTGGTCTCCTTTGGTCTCCTTTGGTCTCCTTTGGTCTCCTTTGGTCTCCTTTGGTCTCCTTTGGTCTCCTTTGGTCTCCTTTGGTCTCCTTTGGTCTCCTTTGGTCTCCTTTGGTCTCCTTTGGTCTCCTTTGGTCTCCTTTGGTCTCATGGACCGCTGGTCAAAGTTCCATCAAAGTTGCGGACGGGAAAGGGTCGACCCACCTCGAAGCCACGGATCGAAATCCCCGCGAGCGATTTCCCGCATCACAGCTGCCCGAAACTGCGGGCCACGCCCCGGGCTCGCCCCCCCCCCCCCCCGATTGCTTTTTCTTTCCCGGAAGTGGTTTTTTTTCTAGTTTCCCCCCCCCCCCCCCTGCATGTTTTTTTTTTTTTTTTTTGTCTTCTTCTTCTTCTTCTTGTTTGTTCGATTTTTATTTGTTTCCTCCGGAAGTGCGCAATTCTGATGGGCGTGTCCCAAACATCATGATGTTATAAAAGGGCCGCCGAAAAGAAGTGAAGCATTTTGGGCATGTCCAAAGGTTCCAACCAAGTTAGAATCCTGCGTGTATTGTCTCAAACTAGGGGAGCCCTTGAAATCGATGGATTTCTTTTGTTTCCTTTTCAAAACGGGTGCCCTCCAAAATTTGCACATGTATACTCACCTTGTCAGCCTAGGCAGAAGTTGGCTTGCTTGAGACAAAAACAACTGAGTTTGCCGCCAAGAATTCTGGCCACGGTTTTTGCATTCCCAGACGCCATTTCTTCTCTGCCGTGTTCCCGGTTTAGACATTCGTCAACGATACCAAGATGTTTCACGAGTTTGTGCTCGCTGCGTGGTGGCTCATAGCATTATTTAGCCCCCACGCCAGGCAAGCAGATTGCGTTTGCACGTGGAATACCAAGCACGTGTTCCAAGGAGGTTTTTTGAGGCCAGGGGATAAGAGAAGAAGGAATCCAGGGTCGCCAGAGACAGCTGAGACACATACATTTTTGGGCAAGAATCCTTCACACCTGTCACCTGTGACGAGATCCCATTTTCGGCTTGGTCGAAGATTCTCAGGGCGTGTTGAATCTTCAGAGTCGCCCGAACGAGGGCGGGCTCTTTCAGACGTTTTAAAGCTTTGTTGGGCAACTCAAATCTGGATTGATTGATTCAATAGCGAGAGGCTTCAATATTCCCATCTTAGAACCCCAAACGCATTGAAGCTATTTCCGGCCCTTAGAATATGGATCGAATATTTGCAAACCAAATCGTCAATCTTCAATCTTAGATCCCACGCTTCAAAGCGCTCTATGGGCGGTCAGGGAAAATAGTGACTCAAAAGTGCCATACATACCAACCATGTATGTATGAATATAATATGAATATATATATATATATATACACATGTGTTTGACGGTACTCTGTTTTTTGGTTGTGGTTAAGGGAAGCCAAAGAAACCCTTCCGACATCCAGCTCGGAATTGTTCAACGCCACCAGGTCTGTGTGGCCGGAACCTCGGGGAGAGAGTGAGTTCGTTGGGTGACTTCGCCGCAGTTTTCTCTCGAATGGCGCCATGTGGGAGTTTTTTTTGGGAGGGTACCTTCTGTTTGCTTGGTTTAGAAGGAAAGCCGACCGGAAAACCCCCTGATGTGGGGGTGGTCCCCCCAACAAAAGGACAAAGCCATCTACCGGCTCGAATCCGGGATTCGCTCGAAGCTCACGCTGGACACTCTCGGTGTGTGGAGAGTTTGGCGGACCACTTTCCATGCGAGGAGTCGGCTGTGCTTCCACAGACTGGCGGCCATGGGGCTTTGGGCTTTCCGGCCGCCCTTCGGAATCCTTCGAAAGTCGGGGGAGGTCCTGAGTGTTTGAATGGGGTTCCAAACTGGTTTCAGGTTGGTTCTACTTTTCGGACCCCAAGGAGAGAACTGCTGGGGAAGATCCCACAGGTTAGGCAACAGAAGTTCGTTTGGTTTTGACGGTTGTTTTCCCTTGTATTCGTTCACATGGATGCGCCATGTTGGTTTGCTGTTCATATTTTCTCACACCACACAAGTGATGTTATGTCATGTTTCTGGTTGTTCATTGATTAGAACTAATGGACACCAACAACACTGTCTCATGTTATTTTGTCCCAATCACTATGAAGCCAGATCGAGATTTGGGACGTTCACGGGGCGAACAAGACTACAGGAAAAACAGAAAGACACTGGGAAGACCCAACCCCAACCCCAACCCCAACCCCAACCCCAACCCCAACCCCAACCCCAACCCCAACCCCAACCCCAACCCCAACCCCAACCCCAACCCCAACCCCAACCCCAACCCCAACCCCAACCCCAACCCCAACCCCACCCCACCCCCACCCCCACCCCCCGCCCCCACCCCCACCCCCACCCCCACCCGCACCCCCACCTCCACCCCCACCCACCTCCCCCCCCCCCACACCCGACCACCCCCCCCGTCCTACCCCCCTCTGTGGCCCCTCCCTCGCCGCTCAGGCCACGAGTTCCCGGCCTTCCAGCGCATGGAGTATAGCGAGGCTCCATTCATTGCGAGAAGCGGGCGGCTTCTTTTTCTTGCATTTTGCTTGGGTGTCAGGAATCCAGAAATTGCGCCACCAAGTCCCCAACGTAAATGCCGACCAGCAATGGTTTCAATCATGGTTTCAAAGTGGTGCAGCATTTCGTCCATCCACAGTATGGCTCGTCAAGCAATCAGCATGTTTGTTGTTGTCCTTTTGGTTGCCCTAAGGCACCCCAAACGAGGCACCCTCAAAAACAACCACCCGTTTAGAAGGTCCCAAATGTTGGGGGGATGGGAATGGAACGGAATTGAACGGACCCATTTTTTGTTTCTTCTCCCAACAGCTAAAAGCTTTGGGGTCTCAGCCCAGATAGGCTTCGGGGTGGTCCGGGGCGGCCCTGAGGTTCCACGAGGTTTCCACCAGGGTTCCACCAGGGTTCCACCAGGGTTTCACCAGGGTTCCACGAGGTTCTGCGAGACTAAAAAGAGCACCGCAGGCTGTTGGGGGTATCACCTGAGCTTATTTCAGGAGTTCCCAGAGGCCCAGAGGTCCCGAAGTTTCCAACACAGCTGGGCGACCCCATCCTTTAGCTTCGACGTTCCAGGCCAGCGAGTGTCCAGCTTGAGATCGCCGCCCCTTCAGTTCGTTGGCCCGCGAACACGCACCCGAAGGGAACCTTCGCCGACTCTGCGAAGATCCCAATCAATCCGAGTCTCCCAAGGCTCAAACTTCCATGGGTTTGTTGGGGCTCGGGTTGGAACATCAACTGAGATGGGCGACCAGAACGTATCCCGCGGACGAGTCACCCTCCCTGAAAAGACAGGTTTCCCCATATTTCCCCTTCAACCAAAGGAACCTCACTTCAAATGGCGCAAGGTGATGTCCGACTTGGCAAATACAGCTGAGATCCCTGCGCTTCCGTGGCTTGCCCGTGTTCTGGTCAATGTCTTACCCACCCTTTGACCATCTGATCCAAAAAAGGTGAGTTGATGGCAAGAAGCATTGGTCTTTCAAGCACCTTTGGCCAAAACCCGGTGAACAAAGCACATGCGCGGCACCGGACATTTTCTCACCTTGGGCGCTTTTTGGTTGTGCGTCCAACATGGCGCTGGCCTGGTCCTGGGAATGGGGTTCACACCCTGTTTTGACATTGTTTCGCTAGCCGGTGGTATTTGTTGGGCATTTGGCCCACTTTCTGAAGGCTTTGTTGGAACGCCGGGGCTCTGGGTTCCTTTCTTGGACCCGGGATTTGATCCCTGCCCCCTAAAAATCAAAGGGCCCCCCCAATAAAGAAAAACAATAATATTTTTATTGTTACGCAGACCTTCCCCCTTGTAAAACAGAAGAACTTGTATTGTTAGGGAGACCTTTATGAATAGGAATCCACGCAACCTGGAAATCCTCGAATTGGAAGGCGATGGACCGCTTCGGCATCGACAAGCCGGACCTGAGATATGACATGGAGCACCTGGACCTGAAAGCTGTCCAACGTGCCAAGCAAGTCCCCCCGTGTTTTTTTTTGTTTTTGTTTTTTTTTGTGCGCGCGCGCGCGCGCGCGCGGTGTGTGTGTGTGTGTGTGTGTGTGTGTGTGTGTGTGTGTGTGTGTGTGTGTGTGTGTGTGTGTGTGTGTGTGTGTGTGTGTGTGTGTGTGTGTGTGTGTGTGTGTGTGTGTGTGTGTGTGTGTGTGTGTGTGTGTGTGTGTGTTTTTTTCTTCTTTTGGGGTATGTGTTTGTCCCCCGCGTTGGGTGTTTTTGTTTCTTTTTTGCATGTGTTTGTTTTGTTATTCTTCTTGTTTTTTGTTTTTTTTCTGGGGGGGAGTGGGGGGGGGGAAGACTCAACCAATCTTGTCCTTCCTCCCTTTTTTTTTTGGGGGGGGGATGGGTGGAGATCTCCTCTCTTTTTTTTTTTGGGGGGGGTGGGGGTGGAGGTGGAGACAGTGTTGAGGTTGGAGTTGGGGTGGATGGGGTGGGTTGGGTGCTTGGGAGTAGGGCTTGGGGTTGAGTGGGGGCGGGGGGCAGAATCAACTGTATCCGATGGTGTGGCCTTATCCTCGCTTTTGTGCTTGCTTGCTTCAGTGGCCTGGTGTTTTCGGGCTTGGAGAAACCATAGGCTCCGATCACTTGCACAGGGCAATCATGCGGGGGCTGATCAAAATTTAGTACTCCGTCCGGCCCCCAAAAACACCTGTGGGTAGCTTCTTCCCCCATTTTGCGGGAGATGTTTGTTTGTTTGCTTAGCAAAATGACCATGGCTAACTCTTTCCCCCATTTTGCGGGACATGTGATGTTTGTTTGTTTGCTCAGCGGTTTTTCCCCAAGGGTCCATCCCACGTATCACGGACCTTCTGACCTTTGGATCAAGCCCCGAGGGCCGCCGAAAACCGATCGATCCATTTCCTAGGGCCGAGGGCCAAGGAAGTTGGGACGGGTGCTTCCTTCTTTTGCGCCGGGTGTGCCACCAAAAACCGAAAAGGGGTCGGGGATCGCGAGAAGGGCGCGGGTGTCAGTTCGGTTCTTCTTTTTTTTCTCCCCCACTTGAGGTTGAGCAGGAAGCGGTTGTGGAATCCGATACTGTAAGCCACTGAAAAGGGGGTGGGGGTTGGGGGGGGAGGGGGGGGCGGGCTGGCTGAACCATTGGCCGGGACCCAAATTTGGTTCGCCATGGACTTGTGCCTGTTTCCCCCGCCGCAAATGAAGGCCTTTGGTGATTGGTTACTGTTTGGATCCCCTTCAACTTGTTGGTTGAAGCCGCGTTTTCCCACTCACAACTCCAACTCTTTGAGGCAAACATTCGCTCGGGTGGGACACCCTCGCCCAGATCGGTTTGCTTTGGGCAGTGTTGCGCCCGCTTGAGGCTCGTGGAGTTGACGGAGGCTCGGCTCCGAACCGATCCAAAGCTTTTCCGAGTGCCGGAAGTTGGGCGACTTCCTTTCAACGGATTGGAGGGTTTGGCCCATCAAACAGGCAGAGTGCCTTTTTTCTTATGCCCAGGACTAGGCATTTTGACACTTCGATTGGCAGAGGTGCTAACTGGTGCTAAGCACGGATGCCATTGGCACGTGCGGACTCCTTCCGGTTCATACAACCCGCGGTTGAGCAAGTCGCGGAGGAAGCCAGTAGAAGCGTGTGGCGCTGAAGGATCCATGGCCTTCCGAAGCATCAGGATGCACGATTTGGTGTGGTTCAAGCAGAAGCTCTTTGTGTTACAAGGAGGGGACAGCCATTTTGATTAGAGGGTGGCAAAGCGTCTAAGCTGGGGTTTTGGAAAGCAATGAAGCGACCCCCTTTTCGGTATTTACGGAGGCTGAACGCCATTTCTGGATGGCGTTCAAAGGGTACTTAAAAACGTCACCAGCCGTTTTTGTGCGCAGTTTGAGGCTCCGCCATTTTAGGTTGCGCAAAAGCGCAAGCCGAGCTTGTTTTCCCGCAAGGCGACACAGCGCGGGAGGGTTGTGAGATGAGTTGGTCAAAAAGGGTAAGGGCGGAAGATGTTTTCTCTCAGACAACGGGTCCGCCAAACTATGCTGAAGGGCGATCAACGCCTGCAGGTTTGTCCCACTGGGTTTGCTTTGCCAGCCTTGGTCGTGTGAGCCAATGTGAGCTGGGGATGACTCAAGCAATCGACCTAAGGGGGGCCTTTTGGCATACTGCACCTTGTTTGAGGCTCGAAGAATGATACCCACCTGACAACTTCGGCTGCCATCCCTTCTCGTTGATGAAGGTTTCAAAATTACAGCTGGCACAGGGTTCTCTATATTCCCGTCTTTGGTCTTCTTAAACAACACCTATTGGGCCAAATTACAGTCAGATTTCTTTTAGCTGGGAGGGTGATCACTTAACGGTCGGACATATGCGGAGTCCCCTTGTGACAACAATTGGAAAGATGGTCCACGTCACCGTGTTCAGTGCGTCCTGAGAAGATGACATGCGATGTAAAGCGGCCGGAACTATGCTGTTCTTCGGTTGAACATATAGGGACCCTGTAATACGAGGCCCAACACCTATTTATTTGCCTGGGTTTGCGGGCCAACTTTTTCGTTCTTTGGGCGGAAACATGTCAGCTAGCCCTCCCACCAACGACCATGGAAGTGCACACAGCCCCGAACCCAAGAGGAACGTCGTCCTGGGGTGCCTTCGGACCCCCATGTCAGTCGGGCCCAGCTTGTTCCGGTTTCACTGGATGCAGGTGTCCAAAGGCAAGAACTTCAAGGCGGGGAGAAATCCGTCTCTTCGGTGTGCCGTTTCCACAGAAGCAAGGCCAGCTCTCAAAAAGGGAGCGCCCAAGTGCTGCCGTTGTGGGCGGGGACCAAAAGGGTTAGCCATTTGGAAGAAAGAAAGGTGGTGAATGAGTGGGATGGGATGGGATGAGATGGGACGGATGGAGGACTTTCGGGATTGCCCCTCCCTCGGGGTTACGTTCATTCAGGGGACTGTTCAGCTTGGCCAGCCCCGCAGATGTTCGACGATGCCGAGTACGTGGTTGCAATGTGCTGCAAGGCGGAAGCGGCCGGACGGTAGAAATCCTTTAATGACCCCAGAGTAATAAACCGGTTCACGGGTGTTCCCCTCCAAAAGCGATGAGTCCCCACTAAAGGGGGACACACCCTATTAATTAACCAGGACAATTATTAATCCTGGCTTCCCATTAGGTGATTCATGTCTACCAAACACTTTTGAGCTGGTTCCGCACTAAAATTCATTGCCATGCTCGATGCGCTTCAGGCAAGTGACTAATGGCTACGAAAATCCGTGTCGGTCATGTGAGGCGCGCTAAAATTTACGTGCTTCCCCATGTCCGTCAGAGCGCGTCCCTGGCTTTATGGTTGAAACTTAGGGTGCGTCCCTGATGTCTCGCCCAAATGGGCTATAGACCCAGGCAAAATTCAGCCGATTCATTGTGGACCCAGTGATGACATTTTCGGCGGTAAAGGTTGAAGCGTGCTGGCTCTTTCCAGGAAAATCACTACATGGGCCCAACCAACGATGGGTTGTGGGGCTTCCCCGAATATAATAACTAGGTATATATGAATTACATGTCTACTATTCATGTCCCCGAAAATAATAATATTCTTTCTCCCTATATGTCCTTTTGAAGTGTGGTTTTAAACATCTCCTTTTGGTTGCCAATGCAAGGTGAGTAACTTTTGGGGTGATGTGTTTTGGGAAATATGGGTATGAATTTCAATAGGGGCCCTTTGGCGGACACCATGGTTGGGCTGTATGTCCCCAACCACTCTTGAGGGGATCCCCATTGAAGTTCACGGCCATCTGGGATTGTATTTTGTGAGGCTTTTTTTTTTGCGTGGTTTTACGGGAAACCAAAAAGGCAAACCGCTGCGTCATTTGGGGGTCCCCTAAAAAAGACTCCCATGAGGGGAGCCCTTTGGCCAAGCCGAATTCGTCAGATGGAGGGGGGGAGGGGCCCCTCATGTTGGACGTTACTCTTTGTTGGGTTTCCTTGAAGGGAAACCAAAGGAACACCACCCATTTGGAGATTCCCTATTTGGAGACACACTCAAGAAGGCATATCCAGAGAGAGAGAGAGAGAGACAAAAAAGAGAGAGAGAGGGAGAGAGAGAGAAAGAGGGAGGGAGAGAGAAGTAGACAGATATACGTACACAAAGGTGTATATCTTTTTATATATACTAATACCCTCATTAATATATATATATATACATACATTTGACACCTTCAACTAGAATATAGGAAGGTAGGCCCTGGATGAATCACATATTGTTTTTTTTTTTTTTTTAATCTATACACATGTCGTGTTTGTTTATGTACTATTGGATTGAGAGAGTTTGACTTTTCCAGGGCGCCGGCGCATGGTCCACCAAGCCGCTGGCTCGGGTTACCGAGTTGCCGAGTTCGACTCGGCGTCTTTCGATTGGCGGGTCGTTCTTCTTTTGTTTGGGGGTGGTTAAAAAGAGAAGTGCATTTTCGGTGGTACTTGGGGGTGCTTTTCGAAGGGAGACCAAAAGGAGCATCGAAGCCATTCTCTAGGGTTTGTTCGAGTTCTGTTCCAATCTTGGCCCATAGGTTCCCCAAGGGTAATGGTTTTCGGCTTTAGGTTGGTCTTCTTCCGGGGGGGTTGGCCGGTCCGTGGGTTTGGGGGCGATTGGCACTGATCGACGCCTCTCTCTCGCCTCCCGAGGAAGGTGAAGGAGTTGGAGAAGAAGGCCACTGGCCAGGAAGTAGGCGCGATAGAGCCACCGATTTGTTGAAGGGTTCTGGTGCGTTGCACCAAAGGAGTGATTTGTCGAAGCGTTCTGCTTTTTGTTGTTTTCGGAGTTGTCTAAGTTTCCAGGGTTGATGAGCGTTTGGTGGGGGGGGGTTGGGGGGTTAAGGGGGAATTGGGGGGTTTGGGTGGAGAGGGGGGGGGGGGTGGGGGGTGTTACATGCTGGAAGAAGTGAGGGGTCCCGGAAATGGTTAATCTTCTTGGTTTGCTCTCACACCATCCAAAAGGGGTTCTGCATGGTTGGACTTCGAGGGAGGGTGACCGATTTTCTAAGCGAATGTAGTAGGGGTATCAAAGGGTATGGAAGGAAGCCAAAACCAAAGCCAGTTCATGTTGATCGCCCGTGTACCGTATATCCGAGTCCTCTAATTTGACCCCTTTGTAACCGGCTAAGCAACAGGGCACGAAGGGACCCTTTGGGAAAGGTTTTGTTTTCCACACAGTTTCGGCTTTACTTTAATCCCCATGTTCACCAGAATCTAATTGAGGCCAGTTGGACATACAAAGGGCTGCGCCAATGAAAGTGGGAGCAGCAGCGAGCATAAATTAAAACCAGCAAACTGGAAACCATTTACGGTCACCAAATCTTGTCAAGTGCTTAGCCGGTTAGCCTCCCTAAAATGTTTTCCCCTTCTGGTGCTTGAACCAAAACACGAAACACCCGGGTTTTGCCCTCGACCGGCCAGGCGCGTCCGCGCTGGTGTGGCTGAAGATCAACCCGGACGGTTCCTACGACTGCTCCGCCAAGAAATTCTTTACGGATGAGGCGGCGGCTTTTTCAACGATGGCACCGCGGGCAACAACACATTTTCCTCGAGGTCCCTATGGGTATGTGTGTGTGTGTGTCTCTGTTTTTGAGGGTACTTCTTCTTGGTTGGTGTTAAAGGGATACCATGAGGAAAAGTAAAGTACCATTTCGCGAGGCGCCCTTAAAAAAGAACAGAACAACACAGGCACACACACAGACCTACGTTTCCCGGTTTCAGATCCCTTAAACATCGCGCGTTTTTCAGATGAGTGGTCTTTTGCGGTAATGTAGGGGGGACATGTGGGGAGCCCTGTTTGAGCAAGCCCTACGAAGGTCCCTTACGAATCGCGTCCCTTGTTTCCGGTTTCCGAATTCCGGTGATTTGCCTAGAATTTGTACCCGGCGTGTGAAGATTCTCGCGAGTCACCATCAACGCCCGCGTACTGTAATTGGAGACAAGGCCGTCAATTCTTTGCATGGTCCTTGGATTTTTGGTTATTTTGCTACCAGGTTTTGATTAACTCATGTGCGGTCTGCAAGGGGATTGCAACACAACGGGGGCGTTCCAGATAAAACCAGCCAACAAGGGGGTACCAACCAAAAGGAGACGAGCCACCCATTTCAACATGGTAGGTCGGCGTCCAGACTCGATTTTCCACATTCGGTTCCCTGAGATTTCATCGTTTTCAAGAAAGAACGAAAGAACAGAATATGAAAAAGATAACGAACGAAGGAATCAATTAGAAGTAGAATGGTTGTATGTTGGTACCTTTCCTTTTTACTGCTAATAATATGGTTCCTGAGGTAAAAGAAGGACATAATAAAACTCAAGAAACAAGAGTTACAGGGAATAGACAGTGAATGGTAAGGAAGAAAGGACGTTTCTCTTTTTAGTCGTAATACTTGATAGTGTCTATTTCTATAGTTACATTTCTATTTCTAATTATATTCATTATCTTTTGTTAATCAGTTTATCTCCTTGTAATTACTTCTGTCTTTATATTCATCATTTATCATCTCATTCTTTCTCTTCTCTAATAATCATTCTTCTACATTTTCTGTTTTATTTTGTTTGGTTTTATTTTCTTTCTTTCACTATCAAATACTTCTCTTTGCATTAGCATCCACAACGGGGCCCAGCATCGGTCAGGACTACGTGAAGTGGGTGGAGATGCTCGGCCGCCGTTCGGTGCCGCGTTTTCGTAGACAGCCTGGAAGGTTTCTTTTTGGCTGGACTCGGTTCCGGTCTTTTTGTGTAGTTTGTGTAGCAACCATTTTTTTGCTCGCACGCCCAGGATTGGAACGCCAAGTCTTCCAAATTTCCCTGGGGGACCTTCCGGGTGCTTGGCTTGCTTCGGATTTGCCAGGAAAATTGGCCATTTCTTGGATCTTTGCGCTTTGACCTGGAACGCCTCTTGAGCAGTTGCGTGTTCCCCAAACCACAACACTTTTTCTTTTTTTTAATGCGCCGCGGCAACTGTCGCCAAGAATTGAGACCCGCAATTCAGCCCTGGTTGAGTCATAGTGGTGTCCGATTTTAGAGGGAATACTTCACTCTTGGCTGGAACTACGGTGACTAGGACGCGGGGTGATTTTTGCAGCCAAGAAACCCGAAGAACAACCAATTGCCAAACTGTTGCAAAATAGACTCCAAGAGTCCCCGTGCTAAACAAAAACATTCGCCTGCCAGGTTGATTCATTTGGGCTGGATTGCGCGTTGTTTCCCCCAGACCAGAATACTTTACATGTTTCCTTGCTCGCTGTCAAGCCAAATGACCTCATCTTTGGAAGCACGCACGCCAGCGCCTTGTTACTTGCTGGTGCACAGTAGGGAATCACCAGGGTTTTGGGAATGAACCTAGGGATTTTCCAACTTAAAGGAAGCATTTGGCCCAGGCTTCTGGGGTCATATTCGTGCCGAGGGAATGAGTTGGAATGACCCCAATAAACCATCGCCACTCAGCGGTCAACCCCCCCCCCTCCCCGCCAAAACCCCCAAAAGGGCTGTTTCCCTTTGGTCTGCATTTATGAACCTGAGAAGGGTGACTCCAAAAAACGAGCCGAGCCATGAATTTCAATAGGGAGGGCCGCCAAGCACAAGTCACAATTCCCCCCCCCCCCCCTCCCAAAAAGGGCGATTTCCCTTCGGTTTCCCTTTGTGAGCTTCTGAATGCATGAACCACCAACCCCGGTTTCCCTCCATCCCCGAGCGGCTGGACATGAATCCGTCCCCAGGAAGGCCAACGCGAAGCCCGGGGGGTGTGGCCCGGGAGACCTGCTGCTGATCATCGCAGGAGGGCGCGAGAGTTCGTGAGTGCGAGTCAACCCCCTGCGGGAGCCATAGCTCTGGGAATCCAGAGCATGATCCTTAAGGAAGTTTAACCGGACACTTCCGTAGCTGGAAGGATCCCTCTGGGAATCCAGAGAATGATGATAGGATTCCGGAGCCATGGCAATGGTTCGCACCAGTTTTGACCATGGCACACATGTTAATTCACTGCTAAGGTTTCCACATCCTCCTTTTGGCCTCCCTTTAGCAGAGGCCAGTCGGTGGCTGTTGCAAACGAATTCTGCCCAACCGTGAGGGGACCGACAGTGAAGTTTATTTTTTTCTATTTTTTTCTTCTTGTTTTCTTTTTTAAATAATAGTTTTAACGGGAAGCCCACCGGGTTTGGGGGGGTTCTCCTCGATTGAGACACACTCATGTCATTTGCGCGTGTTCCAAACATCAATCGTGGCTTTCCTTTTGATTTCCCTTTAAGACCAACCATCCAACAAGGCGTTCCCTTTTTTGGCCGCCCCTTTTTTCTGCGAAGCCTGTTTCGGGAAGCGCTTTCGGACCGTGAATCAGAACGAGCTCGGAATCGGCCAATTTCGCTTGGCAGCTGTGTCGTTGCGGTTTCCCTGTGACCTGGACACGGTGAAACTCCCGTTGACGCATTCGTGACAGTTTACTTTCAGAGGGGCCCTCTTGGTTCAGAGGTACCCTGCCCAATTCTCGCTGTCACCTGCTGCTTGCAGGAAGCCGCATATTGGTCTCCGGTTTTTGTTAGTTCGGTTTAAGGCTGGTCTCGAGCGACTCAGTAGAAGGAAAGCTCCTATGTTCGGGGCTCCCAGAATTTGCCACGTACGGAGAAGTTCAGCTGATGGTGCGGTCAAACAGCCAACCAGCTTGCACTCTGGGGTTTGGAAAAGGGATTAGAAACGGATGGACGAATCTCTTCACTCCGTTACAAGGCCATTCCTTTCTCACCCAATTCCCTTCCTCTGTCAGAAACTCTTTCTCTTGGGTCATGGAGAAAAAAAGGGCAGCACCTTTACCCGTTCACTCCTCACAGGCCACTTCGGGGTTTTCGCCCAGCCCACAAAGGTTGCCAAATGGGTGTGGCTCAAAATAAACCAGCTGGTTTTAGTCATGGTTTCCATACACCAAGGTGCCATTTCGGGGATTCCACGTTGTGAGCCACAGCCAAATGGCTCCAGGTCTTCGCTTCGAAGGTCGCTGTTTCTTTTTGGTCAACGCGCGCCTGTGGCAGGCCCGAAGCTGAAGACGACGCTTAGCCGCAAACCTCGAAGCTGAATTTGGACGATATCAAGGGGCGGGTCTCCCCCTTTCGCTGGGGAAGTTACTACATGGGTTTTAGGTGGATGCCTCGGATTAGTGTCTTCACAAGGGTTTTTGGGCGGATGCCAGGAGTGTCATACTCCGGATGCATCCGGAGTAAACACTACTCTTCATGGGAGTTTTGGGGGAGCACTTGGACGCAGAAAAAAGCATTCCGGTGCTCCCCTTTTGTGATGGTCGCTGCCTGTGGCGGAGGCTTAGAAGCCCGGCAACCGTTGCGACTTCTTGGACGAGCGGTGAATTAGTTGGCTGTGAGTTTTCATGGGGGCCCAACCATCTCAAAAGTGGAATGAGATGAACTTTCGATTTCTGAGGTCCACCGAATGAAACTCACATCCATGTTATACCATTGTTGTGAACTTAGCAAAAATCATGGACGTAAGTGGTCAAGGGGCGTCTCCAAGAGGAAAGTCGTTTTCCAAAAGCCTCCTGCCGGTCCATGATGGGAGGGAGGGTAATTGTTGGAGGGAGGGTAGGTACTCGCCAAAACCGCCAAACTGGTGGCCGTTTGGCCGATTTGGCCGAGGCAAGAATCCATGGGCAAGTTCCGGCACATCATGGGCACCGAGCTAGGCCATGGCCCCAGGTGGGCCCTCCCAGCCAATGACCGTTCGACGTTCGACGTTCGGGGGTCCTGGAAGAGAAAAGGTTCCTTTTAAAGGGACCGGGCCCCGAACGTCGAACGGTTGCAGGTGAATTGGTGGGAGATTGCCATGTCTGACTTTCAGAACCAGCCAAAGATGGGTCCGGCGTTTTTTTTTGGCTTGTCTCAGACCTTTGTCGCCTTGGGAGAGCCACGCCCGATTAGCGATATGGTCGGAGTCGATGGCAGGGGTAATCCAGACAGAACCAGTACCAAAGTCGCAGCCGTCAGAACCAATCAAAACCTCGAAGGTTGCCTTATGGCTGGTGGAAAGGTACCGGTCCAAAAAGCTGCCCAAAGAAGGGACCAGGTAGTTTGTCAGGTACCCCAGATGTTCTCAGGAACCAAGCAGGCAAATATCATGCCAGGTGTTTCTTGGTGGCTCCCAGACATCCAAATCCTCAGCTTGTTGGCGTTTTGAGTTTTTTAGTTGGTTGAATGGTTGGGTCTCCGAATTAAACCTACAAGTCACCCTCCCACTGACTAACATGGAAGTGCACAGACCCTTGAAAGACTACTTTCCTCTTGGAAAGGGGGTTTGCACATCCATGTTAGTTGGTGGGAGTATCATGGCAGGTGTTTGTGATGGCTCCCAGGCATCCGGTTCCCCAGCTTGGTAGCGTTTTGAGCTTTTTAGTTGGTTGAGTGGTTGGGTTTCCGAATTAAATTTAACCCACAAGCCAGCCAAACGTTGACCCCTGGTGTAACCCCCCGGGTGTAAACTCACCAGCTTCCATTTGGTTATAAGAATATGCTTTATTTTCCCCGGTTGGTTTTAAAGGGAATCGATCACTACTGCAAATAAATATGTATATATTTTTTTCAGGGACTTCAGCAGATCTGAGGACAGCCCAGGAAAGAACATGTTGCTCCCGGGTGTGAACTCACAAGGGTAGGTGTCTTTTTAAGGTTAGTTCGGTTACAAATAAGATGGCACTGGTTTAGATGGGTTTCATTCCATTTACCAGAAAAAAAGCCATCTACTTTCCCAAAAGCACACTGAGTGGCGCCCTTTCCTTTTTGGGGGGGAAGCGTTCCCCTTGAACCTCAACCGACCCAAAAAAAGTGGGATGCCGATGCTTTGTTTTCCCCATGGAAAGTCCCACTGGGCATCTCGAGCCGAGATGCCCACTGGGCATCTCGAGCCGAGGCCAAACTCCACAAAAAAAGTAAAGAAGAGAGAACTCCATCTACTTTCCCAAGAGCACCCCTACCCAGTTGAGCAGTGTCGCCCTTCTTTCCTTTTGGGGGCCAAAAAATCCACCAGATCCGAGCCATCTTTCCTTTATTCCTACCCAGTCGCGTGGCCCAGTTCCACAGAAAGCTCCATCGACTTTCCCGAGAGCACCCCCCGCCCACGTCGCTCCAACTCCTCGCAGAGAAAACCGGAGGCCTTCGCTCCGAGGGCTTCCGGGCGCTCTGGGTGGTGCCCGGCGCCCCGTTTCCGGCGGGGGTGTGCGCGGTTTTGGGCCGGGCCTGAGAAGAACCACGAGCCCAAAACGGGGGGGGGGGATCGACCATGATCGACCCCCCCGGGAAAAAAAAACAGAAAAAGAAGAAGACGAAACCAGATCTGAGGTGGTGATCTCATCTTGGGCTTCTATGAAAAGGAATCTCTGTTGTTTTTGTTTTTGTTTTTTTGTTTTTTTGTTGTGGGCCAAGATTCTGCACTGGCACCTTCCCTGTAGATCGTTTTATTTCATGGTGTGGTTGCCAGAGGGCCGATCTCCCAACGGAAGAAATGGGGACTTCGGTTTCGGCCATTCAAGGGGGGGCTAGCTCAGAAATTCAGGATCCGATTTCGCCAGGGTTCTTGCTGTCAGCTTTCATTGGTTTTGACTTGCGACGTGGGGATCGTAAAGGAATCGAAACCTGACACGAACACAGCACCTGGTGGCTCCCAGCCATTCCCTTAGTTTCTTTTTACTCTTTTAAGGGTCACTGAACCCACAAGCCAAACTTTTAGCAGATCTGAAAACGGACAGCCAGAATCATCTCCAGTGCCCGCTCCCCGCGCCGAGGAACTTCCCCATGCTGGAGTGGGATGAGGACGAGGCTGGTGAGTGGTTTTTTCGACGCGCGGGGCGTGAAGCAACGAATGGGTGGCTCGTCTTTTTGAGGTTGCACCCCCCCAAAAATGCTGCAACGGTTGTTGTTTTGTTTTCCCTGTGTAGCCACCAAACAAGGGTACACTCAAAGAAGGACACACCCACGTGCAGCTTTATGCAAGGGCGCCCACCAATCATGCGTCACTTGGGCCGGACCCTGTGCCACAGTCAAGTCAGGATCAGTTGACACCATTTTGGAGTGAACAGATAGATGGTGTGACAGCTACCCCTGATTTCTATTTCTGATTCAATAACCTTCCAAGTATAAATCAGGAATCTCTTTTTAAGGGTGCCTGTCTTCCACCAGAGCACCTGACACAGTACTAGGGGGATCAATCCGTGGTCGCTAAGCGGTGCGACTCAAGCGGCAATCGGCTGCACAGTGGTCGGAGATGGCTATGGCCCAGATCGGAAGGGTACAAGCAGAGCTTTCAACCAAATGTCAAGGAGCCGATCTAGTGGCAACCTGCCTGTTCCAGAAAGCCATCTCCCAGAGAATGAGCGAAACTGTCAGGAGTCCTCAATGCCTTGGATGAGGCTTTTTCCATGGCCGTATCACGCTTTGGGGCAGGCAACGATGACATGGAAGTGTACATGATATGATATCATATGATATCATCATATTATGATAGAGATCCAACATGATATGATATGAAATGATATTATAATCTAATTCATATATATATATATGCATGTCCATTGCCTATCTATAATGGCATTATAAAGGGGTTTCTATCAGGGCACCACCTCAAGTGATTGAGTCAGGAGCGCTTTTGCGCCAAGCACCATCCCTTCACCTCGCCTTGGACTGAGGCCGGCGCTGCTCCCTGCAAATGGCCCACAATCAAAACCCGGGTAGATGAAGGTTAGTAATGGGCAGTCTCAGCCAGAAGTAGCTGCGGAATTCCGCCTTGTTAATTCTTGAAGCATGGTTCTGGGATTACGACCATTTTGCTCACCCGGGTTTTGAGCAAGTGACTCAAATGGGGGGGGTGGAGTCCCGAGTCCCACGCACTCAAAAGGAGCTGTTCAGGAGACTTGCAGGGCTTCCAAAATTTTATCCTGGTGGTTTACAGATGTGGGCGTCTCAAGATTGGGGTCGCCTTTTTGGATGGTTTCAAAAGGAAACCAAAAGAGCAACAACCACCTGGGGTCCCAAATTCTGAGAAACACAGAAATGCCCACATGGGTGTGGGTCAAAATTACACTTTCAGGTGACCACAGGTTTTACTCCTTGGTTCCATTACTCAGGGTTCTATTTTGGGTACCCATTTTTGACCCGCAGCCACATCAACTAGGTTAGACGTTTCCCCCTAGTGAATTGGTGCTGCCGGCGCTACGGACGCTAGGGAACCCACACAATTGGCGGCTTGCCTTTTGGTGTCCTTTAACACAACCCTAAAAAGTGCGGTTCCTTGAAAAACAGAAACACACCCATGTGGCTGTGGCGCAAAAAACGCACAACAGTGGCACCTTGCTAAATGGAAATGAACACCAAAACGTAACCCGAGGTCTTTAATTTTGAGCCACGCCCATGTGTTCGGCCGATGCAAAGATCACTTGCGAAACTGTGGGTTGGTACATGTGAGCTTGCCAAGAAAGCACTGTTTGCCTTTTGCCCTCACTGGGGTTGTCGGTCAACAGACACTTGGGCAAGCGCAACTGGACGGTTTGTGTGGACTGCAGTCGGAGTTCAACTCATCCTTCACGCTGAAAGGGCAGGTAGGTGCCAGGGTGGGGCAAGGCTGGTTTCAGGGCAGCAAGAAATGAAACACCGTCCACCGAAATGAGGGCGATTCAGGCACAGCTGCTTGAACCGCGTGTTTGAAACAGGCAGTTTGTGTGGCAAGCTGTCGCCAGAACAGCTGACAATCAGGGGTGCAAACTGAGCCCGGGGCTTGTCCGTTCCAGTGCGCCTTTGTTTTCTTTTTATCCGGGGGAAGGACGGATAGTGCGGGCTGTTTGCTTGTTGATCAGGATATCGAGAAGATGGTGAGCGCGAGCCCTAGGTTGAAGCACGAATCGAAAAAGGCCAACCCAGCGATGGGTTTGTATCGGTTTTTGCGGAGGCGAAAGGTTCTAGGGGTTGATGCCTTTTCCGTTCTTTTCAACCATCATTCGGTCTCATAAACCATCCATTGTCTGGGTTTCTGGAGGTTTTCTGGAAAGAAGGATCCCTGGAAAGAATGGGGAAGGTACTCCTAGAAACCTCAAGGAACAAGAGGAAAGCCGATGCCATATCTGGGCTACTTTGACATCCCCAAGTTCCGGAGCTCACTGGAAGAGGGGGGTGAAGGAGGGATTCCATGATTGTCCCTTGGGTTCGGGGTCGAAGTCACCCAGCCAGGTGTGTGAATCTAAAAGTCCAGCCGACGCCGACTCTAGCCAGGGCTTATGAGTTTGATGGGGCGTTGTCCGGAGTCCCCTCCACCCAGAAAAAAGACGACTGGTGTATGTTCCCTTGAGTTTCCACCGTCCTACGCGTCACTCCCCCTCCTCCCCCCTCAAAATATATATATATATATTCCAACAACAAACGGCGGGTTTTCCCCCCCCGCCCCCCTCCAACAAAAAAACACACACAAAAAAAACACGAACCAACGGCGCGGCCTTCCTCCGGTTTTCCCCGGTCGTTTCCCACAGTTTCATCTCGCCCGAAAGCGCCCCCTTCCCCTCCCCCCCAAAAAAACAGAGAAAAGGAAGAGAAAGAGAGACAACAACGCCGACGCGGTTGGGTGGTCCGGTTACGGGGGCAAACGCCCGCCTTCCGCATTCCAAGCCACGAGCCTTCCGAGGCCTGGATCACAAGGATCAGAAGCTCCTGGAGGCGAGGAACACGGAGAGTGACAAACGAAAGCAGAAGCGGACGGCACTGACGAAGCGCGCTGCGGATTTGTTCCCTTTTCGGAACCGCCCGAAAAGAATAATAACACCCCCATTTGTAGAGGAACCCGTGCTTTTCATGGAACTACTCCACACAAAAAAAGTAGAGGAGCCCGGCGCTTTTTTTAAGGGAAGTGGAGCCTGGGTCCTTGTTCGGAGGTTTTTCCGGGCCCCTCCAAAACGGCGACATGTGGTTGTAATGTTGAGTGTAGCAGCGAGGGGAAGCAAAATGTCCGAAAGTCCTCACTTGAACTGGGACTGGGGGGAGCATCTGATACACTTCTTCCGCCCCATCCCGAAAGCTTTCGGTGGGATGTAGGATATTGTTTGTTTCCTTCTTCTTTTTCTCATCTCTCTTGACTCAGCGTGCCCTAAATGTCCCTTTGTGGCCTTAAAGGTCATTTGCTTGACCTGGTTGGTTGCGACGGGAGGTTTGTGGCTTTAAAGGTATGCCCGTTTTGCCGGTGGCACAAGCAACGGGAGGTGCGAGCCAACGCCTATGACATGGTCATCAATGGCGTGGAGGCGCCATGGCGGCTCTAAGCGACTTCGTAGGTGGACGAAATATGAAACAGGATCTGATGTGGAGTTTTTGGTGTACCCGGATATCGATTTTTGCAAATTTGCCTAATGTGTTTTTCTTTATTTTCTTTAAGGATCGACTTGGAAACCAAGGTGAGCTACCTTTTGGGTGTAAGAGGACATATTGGGAACCGGTTCGCAACTGAATGGAAATCATGGGGCTCGGCCCCTGGTACATGTTTCATCTCATCAAGGGCAACCATGGGTTGTGTAAAACCGACACCATACCCAGCTTGTTGCCACCCGCTTGCAGAGAAGAGCTATTGTCCCGTAGCCAACCCCCGCCAATTCCGTTTCTATAGTGGCTTCAGAGTATCTGTATGTCCATCTTACCGCCTGAGAAGAGTTGTTTGGCAGCTATTGTCTCAGAAAAAAAGTTGTCTGGCCTCCAATTTGCCTTTGGCCCAAGCAACCAAAACGTCGCTTGTTTGGCGCGCACGATGTGGCCCCGGAGGTGGGTGGCGGCTCCGTGAGGATCCACGCGCCTCGATTCGGAGAGTTACCGGCAGCCGTCAGCTGTGTTGGACGGAGCTGGGTGCGTTCATATTTGAGTTGGTACCATTTTTCTTGGTCATCCCCTTAGCATTTTAGCCTTTTAGTGTTTAGTGGTAGTTTCCATTTAGCCCACTAAAAGTTAAACTTTTAGCGGGGGATCTGAGGGCCCAGTTTTGGGGCGGTGCAGCTAGAAGGCTTTGAGTTCTTTAAGGGTCGTGCCTTTGGTGTGACAGATGGCCCCGTAGAGCTGTTGGAAGCACACAATGCTTTTCTATGCTCGTCATTTGCTCGTCCCCGAAGGTCCGGGTTTGGGGCCTGCCATTCTGGACCCGCTGAACAAAAGGGCCGCGCTTAAAAAAGCATGGACGAAGCTTCCAAAACTTCTGGGATCCGGAGATCTCGCTCCTGAGGTCCTGGTGAACTTTGCTGGTTCTCAGGGAACGCGGGAATGACCCCGAGAAAACCATTGGGAATCCGCAGACGGAATGAATCCCACCACCCGGACTCGTTGAAAGATGCGCTACCTATCGCACCCTGCAAGTTGCCGAAGGTCTCCAAGTCCCAGATCGGGGGTGAAAGTCGTCTCCACCTGCGAGGTTCAACTTAAGGCGCCGAGTTTGACCGGACCAGGAAGTCATGGGTTGCACCATACATTTCAGCCAAATGGAACATGGGGTTCCCAGAACGGGGGGGGGTTCCTTTAGGGTTTTCCTTTGACACAATTCCAGGGTTTAGAGCGCAGTTGCATCTTGGTTGAGCCATCCCCAATCCCAAATTCCGGCAATTGGTTCCACGCCAGAACCGCGGCACAGATCACGGGTGCTCACCACTCAAAACGGGATTTGGTGGCCTCTTTTGGTTTCGGCGTTCCTTTTGGTCTCCGAAGGCATTTTGGCAGGCCATGGAAACCCCTCCCCCCCCACCATTTTGGTAGAGGAGACCTGGACACGGACCACGGACCACGGATTTTTGGGCTGCCAGCCCGAGGATCCGCGTGTTTCCGAGGACCGGCCGCTCCAAGAGAAGGTCTTTGAGGTGCTGGGCTTCACCAAAGAGGAGGCCGGTCACATGGTCCCACGGAGTACGGGGTTTTCCGTTGGTTTCGCCTACTCAAGTGTCGAATGAGAAAGTCCTGGACTAAATGGCTGCACCATGTGACCAGCCCTCCAAAAAGAAGAGAGGCTTCAATGACAAGAGGTTCAAGGCCAAGGATGCCACGCAACCCAACTTGAAGAAGGGTCTTCTGGACACGTGGGGTGGGCCCAAAAACCCCAGTGTATCCACTAAGAGCTTCTTTTGGCTCTCTATCGATCTCTCTCTCTCGCTCTCTCAACTCAACAATCGACGGCCGTCCCTTTTGTCCAAGTCATGAGAGCCACTCGAACCTGTCGATTCCTGGAAGTCCGCTTCATGAACCCTCACTCTCCCCCTCCGTGCCCGAGTCAGCCATTAAAACATCTTCGGGTGTACGGGTCGAGGTTTTTCTCGGACCGAGTTTTTCTCGTTTTTCTCCAAGATGTTTTCTTCTCCGCGATTTCGCTTCAACCAATGGAAAATCCTTCGGCGTGGGCCGTTTATGTTTTTCTCTCGATCGAAGCAAAAGCGTCCGCTGGAGGCTTTGGCGCAGTTCGGGTTTTTGATGGGGGCCTTCGAGTACGGGGCCCCGCCCCACGCGGGGCTTGCCTTCGGCCTGGACCGGCTCTGCACCATCATCGGCGGGAAGGCCGTGTCGAATTCGCACGCGCGAGCGCGCGGTCAAATCGATTTGCGCGAAAGGGGGGAGGCTTAAACGCCATTGGTTCTAAGTTGGTGTGTGATGTCGGGCAGACCCAACAACTAGCCCAACCAAACCAACCCAACAACCAACCCAACCCATTCCACCAGCCAACCCAACCCAACAACCAACCCAACCCATTCCACCAGCCAACCCAACCCAACAACCAACCCAACCCATTCCACCAGCCAACCCAACCCAACAACCAACCCAACCCAACCAACCAACGGTGGATTTCGATCAGACGACGATCCGGGACTTTATCGCCTTCCCAAAAAACAATATGGGTCGGTGCCCCAGGCTCCGCAGCGTTGGGAGAATTGCCAACCGCTTGGATCTTCGAACATCGACATTTTACTGGCCCCCATGGGTTTTGCGATCAAAGCCACCCTTATTTGATAGGTTGAATCGAAGGAAGCACTGAAAAACCAAGCAATCGAATGACCCCGCAACAGTTGCTTTCTTGCGGGTGGGAAAATGGGAGCGGGGTGTTCAGCCCCACAATCATGTTGACCCTGGATTTATAAACCCGTCCCACTATTAGGGGGGTGTTCCCTCCAAAAGTGGTCTGAATCCAACCACTAAAAGGGGACACCCCCCGATCAAAATCAACCAGAGGTTCTGCTTAATCCGGGGCTAACATTCTTCCTCCCAAGCCAAAAGCCAGGGGAGGAGGCTCCATGGGGTTTTGCTGGAAGGTTTGGTGCATGCTGGGTGTGGGATCGGGGCTAAAGGCTAAAACGGAAGGTCTCATGATGAAGGCCCCTTACTTGCGGGCGCCCTTGCTGCGTGTGAAAGGAAACCACGTGGGCGCCGGGTATTCTTGGGGTCCGGAGCTTTGAGCCTTGCCATTCCTTTTAACTGCGGTTTCCCTTTTGGGTTTCCGTTGCGGGTTACTGGAGGAATCGTCCCTGGAGAAGTCTGGAGGAGTTGATCAAACAACTTGAAGTTTTGGTGTGTTTTCTCTTTGTGTTTCCTCTTTTCTTCTTATTTTTTCTTTTGTTCGAAACTGAGACGACTTAGGTCGTGACACCATGATCAACACGCCGGCCGCCATCACGCCGGCGCAGCCAGCAGCTTAGAGGGTGCCCATTGAAGTGTGCCGAGCTTTTAAGGGTGCCCTTTTTGGGCGCGGTTTTAAAAGGAAACCAGAGGGAAAACCACAATTTGGGTGGGCCCCGTTTTTTTTAGGAAGCAAAGGGAAACCCACAATTTGTGTGGGTGCCCTGAAAGAAGACGCACTCATTTGGAAGGACTGGGTAGCGTCCCGGAGGGTCTCTCTGACCCGGAAAGCCGACCTCTCAATCTGAGGCCAAAGAAGCCGCACATTTGTTAGACTTAAACCCTCCTTTCCCTTCCCGCTTGCGGATCGGCATCTTGTGTTTTTTTTTTGCATTTCTAACATTAGAGCTCCCACATATCTTGGTGGCTCCCAGCCATCTCCTTAGCTTTTTGGCCTTTTAGTGTTTAGTGGGGGTTTCCATTTAACCCAACCAAAAAGTCAAACTTTTCGCAGGGGATCTGCGGGCAGCCCAGATGTGTATTGTCTTTTGGGCAAACAAAGGAAGCCAACAAGCGCTAGTCCTGGTCATGAGGCTAGCGGAGTTGAGCATCAACACCACCGTGGACGAGGAGGGCTTTCGTTTGTTTTCTTTTTTTCCCTCGGCGGTTTTGCTTTTGGTTTCCGTTGAAACCAACCCCAACCAGGGTACCCTGCAAAAAAAGGGCACCCAGATGGTACTTTTGGGTTCAGTGAAAAGGAGTGTTACTCTGGTTGGGCTGCGGCGGGAACAGTGGGACCCGCCCCATGATTTAGACCATATTTCCCGGCTGACATGCCACATTGGCGGCATCTCTGTGAGCCTTGATTTCACCTCCCTTGACGCAGTTTCGGTTTGGGCGGTTTTCATGAAGCGGTTTCAGTTTGGGCTGTTCTCAAAAATTACTTTTGTGGTTTCCCTCTGCGGGTATTTGTTTCAGGATGTCGCTTTCATATGGATTCAAATTGTAGGAGGGAAAGCCCAAAGCAGCCGCTCGGCGTGAGGGCAGAGAAGTGGGCAAGGGATGCTTCTGGTTGCTATTTCCTGACACCCCGAAATGTATTTCGATCGGTAAATGGACACATCCACTAAAACCTGCGGTGCCCTGGTTTCATCTTGACCCATGCCCTCTTTTTTTTTTTGGGGGGGGGGTGGGGGGTGGGGTGTTGGTGATAGTCCCATGTCTAGAAATGTCTACCAAGGGCTACGTTTTGAGCCCCAGGGCTGCGAGGAGAGGAAGCCTCCAAGATGGTGCCCACTGCCTGCCCCAAACCACTCCCAAGGGAAACACGGGGCAAACAAGAAGCGAAAAGCGGATGTTTGAAGGTGAGGAACAGAGCCCTAAATTTAGGTTGCGGATCTCCGCCTTTTAGTTTCCTTACATGAATTTGGGTAAACCATCATAAAAGACTGGTACCACTTGAAGAACCATCATGTGCAGCCACTTGGGTTGAGTTGAAACCGACATTTGGTGACAAGGCCAAGGTGTTTCGAGCTTCCGTGTTTTGTCGCGTTGTCGCGCGGCGGAAGCCTAAAAGCGAACAGGCACGGAAAATACATTGAGCACAACCATTTCATGGTTGCGGATGTCCGCCTTTTAGTTGCCTGACATGCATTTGGGTAAACCATTTAGATACCGATCGGTTTTGATTGTGACGCACCATGTAAAGGGGCACGACACCTTGATGGCACCCTGTTTTGTGTCGTAGAAACTCGAGTGGCCGGACAAATCCCCGCGCCCATCTTGGGTCCGCATGGGTCGAACGCCAAATACATGGTCACTTGGAAGGTCGCTCTGGGTCAAATCAATACACCAGAAGCTTGCAGGCTTTGGTCCGTGTTTCCACTTACAAGGGTTCTATTTTGGAATCCTATGTTTGACCCACATCCAACTGGTTTCCTAGTATCCCCTCCAGTGCCGGCGCCAAACAGCTAGCAGAGAGTCCCCACTGAAGCCGAGCTACGAGAGATCCGCCGTTTCTATTGGTGAGAACAGGAGTCGGGTCTGCAAATCGCAGATTCCTCTAGCTTCCAGCTTTGGAAATCATTTACAAGGAGCTTTTTATGCGGGGTTGTCCCTCAAATCCATCAGCTGGCACTGCAACCCTAGTCAGATTCATGATCCCTGTCCAAAACGGGACGATTTCCTATCAAGGTTTTTGTGCTTGGCTTCGCTTGCTTCCAGCTCCGTCTATCTGAGGCTGGCTATCCTTCCTGAGTTCTGTAGAGTCTGGGGAGATCCTGACTGGTTCCCATCTTTTCCGCAGGCAGGCAGTTCTCATTCGTTTTTGCCGGACAATTTGAATGGTCATTTGTTCGTCTTTTTGTGGACAGCAACATGAACTTCTCGTTGAGGGATGCGGACAGTTCCAGCCCGTGCTTCAAAGGCACCGAAAGTGCTTGGAAAAGACCCGGACTTGTGTCGAACGCCGCTGTGGGCGCTCCACTCGGTGTGCGAAAAAGCGCAAAAGCAGCAAAAAGTGGGTGAGGCTGGGCTGGGGAATGCTGACCCCGTTTAATCAACCCCAGTTGATTCAAAGGGGGTGTTTTTGGGTTTAGTGGGAAATCATCATTTTTGGACCGGAACACCGGAACCCCCCCCGTATGAATAAACTGGGGTTGATTCATATGGGGTGAACATGGAGGGCGGAGTTTCTCTCAAGGTGCAGAGTCCGAGCCTTTGGCTGCTCCGCCGCAAGCGACGCAAGCGCACCGCGAACGCCCGCGACTCGTGGCTCCAGAGCAAACACGTCGCCCAGCATGTCGATTCCAGTGGGCCGGCCGCGGGAGTCCTTGGCCGCTCGGAGCGAGCGGCATGCGTCTGCGCTTTGGGTCTTGCTGGGTGAAACCAAGGGATTCCTGCCTTAGGCGGATCCAGTGATCGGATCCAACCCCTCTCTAACTCTCTCCAAAACTGGGGGGACAACTGGCGGCTGCGGTGCTTGTTTGGTCATATTTAGATTTCATGGGGGAAAAGGGGAAGAGGGAAAGGGCACGTCACACACGGCTCCGGTTGGTCCAAACCAGGGACAATAGAGGGACCCTTTGTGCGCATGAAATCCGTGTGAGACGTTCTCAAAATCGCATTGGGGCGTTGCACTTAAAAACCACAACCTAGGAACGTAGGTGCCTCTTACAGACCACGACTTAGGAGGGTAGTTCCCGCTTAAAGATCACGACTTAGGAAGGTAGTTGCCTCTTAAAGACCACAACTTAGGTAATTGTCCTTCAAAGCCACAAGTTGGGAAGGTATCTTTTGAGGATTGAGCAATCCCCCACAGTTAATCAGAGGGGCCCGTGGAAAGGAATCCCCAAGAAACAACGCAAAAAAAAACCACTTGGGGGTACTTGGGTTGTTTCCCTTGACCATCATGGTAATCTTGGAGCCTAACCATTTCGGTTGTTTTTCCGATTCCAAAGACCTACAAAAAGGGAGGGGCTCGACGTTCGAGCAGAAACTTGCGAGTTCTCAGCAGGGAATGAGGGAATTGCCCCGAAATCAAACGGTTCATTCCCAACACCCGGCCTCGTTGTCATTTCCTACCCATGGCAGCGTAGGTTTAGTCACTTGGGACGACCGTGGAACAGTTTGGGACCAAACTCAGGTGGGCTTCTATCCCAGACCCTTTCCTGAAGTCAAAGCACAAATAAAACAACGACAAACACAGAACAACAATCAACAAACACAAGCAAAAGTCACAAAAAGGAAGAAACCCCAAACAGCAAGCAAGACAAAAAGAACACGCACAATACCAAGAACAAGAAACAACAAGAAACAACAACAAGAAAAAAAACACAAACAACAATACCACAAAACAAAAAACACAAAACCGAAACAACAAGAAACAACAACAAGAAACACAAACCCAAAAAGCAAAGAACACAAGTTCGGCGGCGAGGTGAAGTATGACCCGCCCTTGGAGTTGGGCCCGGCGCCGGCTGGGTCCGTGGGGCGCAAGGGCACAGCCCCGAAGCCCAACTCCCTGAAGGCGGGCGAGTTGGTTTTTCTTCGGGAAAACGTGGGGTGCTGCCCTGTCTTCCAGTTTTGACCACTTGTTTGCAGGGATCAGATGTGTTTTTGTTGGGTTTTGCAGGGATCAGATGTGTTTTTGGTGGGTTTTGCAGGGATCAGATGTGTGTTGTTGGGTTTTGCAGGGATCAGATGTGGTTTGGTGGGTTTTGCAGGGATCAGATGTGGTTTGGTGGGTTTTGCAGGGATCAGATGTGTTTTGGTGGGTTTTGCAGGCATCAGATGTGTTGTGTTGGGTTTTGCAGGGATCAGATGTGTTTTGGTGGGTGTTGCAGGGATCAGATGTGTGTTGTTGGGTTTTGCAGGGATCAGATGTGTGTTGTTGGGTTTTGCAGGGATCAGATTGTTGTTGGGTTTTGCAGGGATCAGATGTGTTGTGTTGGGTTTTGCAGGGATCAGATGTGTTGTGTTGGGTTTTGCAGGGATCAGATGTGTTTTGGTGGGTGTTGCAGGGATCAGATGTGTGTTGTTGGGTTTTGCAGGGATCAGATGTGTGTTGTTGGGTTTTGCAGGGATCAGATGTGTGTTGTTGGGTTTTGCAGGGATCAGATGTGTTTTGTTGGGTTTTGCAGGGATCAGATGTGTGTTGTTGGGTTTTGCAGGGATCAGATGTGTTTTGTTGGGTTTTGCAGGCATCAGATGTGTTGTGTTGGGTTTTGCAGGGATCAGATGTGTTTTTTGTTGGGTTTTGCAGGGATCAGATGTGTGTTGATGGGTTTTGCAGGCATCAGATGTGTTGTGTTGGGTTTTGCAGGGATCAGATGTGTTGTGTTGGGTTTTGCAGGGATCAGATGTGTTTTGGTGGGTGTTGCAGGGATCAGATGTGTGTTGTTGGGTTTTGCAGGGATCAGATGTGTGTTGTTGGGTTTTGCAGGGATCAGATGTGTGTTGTTGGGCTTTGCAGGGATCAGATGTGTTTTGGTGGGTTTTGCAGGGATCAGATGTGTTTTGTTGGGTTTTGCAGGGATCAGATGGGTGTTGTTGGGTTTTGCAGGGGTCAGATGTGGTTTGGTGGGTTTTGCAGGGATCAGATGTGGTTTGGTGGGTTTTGCAGGGATCAGATGTGTTTTTTGTTGGGTTTTGCAGGGATCAGATGTGTGTTGTTGGGTTTTGCAGGGATCAGATGTGTGTTGTTGGGTTTTGCAGGGATCAGATGTGTGTTGTTGGGTTTTGCAGGGATCAGATGTGGTTTGTTGGGTTTTGCAGGGATCAGATGTTGGATCGGAGGGTTTTTGTTGGTTCTATGGGCTGGTTTGTTTTCAGGGATCAGATGTATTTCTTTTTTGGTTTCCAGGAGTCAGATGTTGGTTCCCCGAATGAGCGAAGGGTTCCCGTGATTCAGTGGGGTTTGGGGGGTAAGGTCTGGGGGGTTTTCTCCTTTCCAGGAGTCGGATGATTTTTGTTGGTTCCACGTTTGTGGTTGTGTGATTAGCCATGATTCATTTCATCAACAGGGATGTCGCGGTAGTGACTGACCTGTGATGTTTGGCTCAAGTTTTGGGTTCCGTCGCGCCTCGAATGGGCGTCGCCGAACCCCTGCGTCGACCGACGGCATCTCGGGGGAGAAAGAGACCTCGGGCCGCCGCCAGGTTGGTAGGGACCAGTCGTGCGGCCTGTTGTCGACCAAGGTTGCGGGTTAACCCTTTTCTTGTTTGGTTTGTTTTCTTTTGGTTGTTGTTCTCTGGTGTGTGGGAAACCCTGATCTTTGGGACCGGGGATTGGTTTGCTTTTGGGGAACCTTTCTTTTGTGGCTTGTTTACCCCAACTTACCCATTGCCTGGGCACAGGCTCGTGCCCGAATCACAGGTTATCAGCCGTAGGACTTTCCTACGCGCTTGAGACCATCAACTACAAGCTCTATGTCGACCCCACGATCTCGCAGGAGCGTCGTGGATGAGGAGGCCATCCTAGGTGGCCTCCGCTCAGGTGAGGACCTGCCGGACTATGACTACGAGGATTTCGAAGCAGGTTCGACAGGTCAGGACCGCAGGGGTGAAGATCCCGGTAGGGATACACCCAGGGGCCGTGGCAGGTACGCCGACGATGGAGACGATCGTATTTTCCGCCAGGCCACTGATGACGAGCAGACACGAAGGGTTTACTCCGATAGGAGTGGCTCTGAATCAGGTCACAGGCGTGGACATTTTGACTTCACCAGCATGGCGATGGACATGGCCCGCCCTCATTCGGATGACCCGGAGGCCATGCCGATTCGACCTCCGAGATCTCTTGTTCCAGGTGAGTCGCAGGTCTCGGATGAGTTTGAGAGTAGGCCGCAGGGACCAGGGACTATGGTTCTGGTTCCGGGAGGTATCCCGGGCCGATCCACTGGTTCTCAGAATCCAGGTCAGTTTGATGAGCACGAGGAGCGGAAGTTCTCAGACTTCGGATACGATGATCTGTTGAAATCAACCGCAGGTTGGGGCAGTAGCTCAAAGCAGGGGTCTGATGCCGGTAGGCCCAACCCTAATACTGCCAAATCTGAGTCTTATGATGGCGAAGGTTACAATTTTGCGGATGAGGAGGAGAGCCATTCGCGCCGAGATGCAGGCAGCCGTGCGACTGTAAGGACTAGTCCCGCCGCTGCCAAGTTTGAGGCCGATGATGATGACGAGTATGCCGCGTTTGCGGATCGCCGTGATGAGGAGGAGGACCAACCACGACGAAATGCTAGGATCCGTGATGCTGCGAGGCCCAGGAGCCTCTCTCGTGGAGCCGCCAGGGACCTTCGCGTTGACAGGGATGCCCGAAGCGAGAGAGAGAGAGCCAGGGACAGTCGGGAAGTTCTTCGGGGATTGGAGGCCATCCATGACCGTGAGGGACCGGTAGGTCCCCCGGCGATTGGTGATACCCCGAATGTTCCCCCTTTTCCCAACATTACGTTTGGAGGTCCGTTAAATCAGAGAGACGTGAACTCGAACCGGGTTACTGGTTCGCCGAGAGTCACTGAGCGGGTTGCCGATGTCGTTGGGAGAGGTGCAAGAGATGGCCGGCTTGCCGATGCACTCGGAATCGAGGATCGTCCGTCGATCGCTAGCCCGTTAGGGCGAGATACCAGTGACCTTGAAACGCTAAGGTCCAGCAACGAGTTCACACCTCAATGGGGCTCGACCGCCAGGGAACGTAGTGCTTCTGCGAAGAGACCGTCACCCCTGGCCATTGAGACCGATAGGTCGAAGGCGAGGAGGGCTAGCCCCTCACCAATGGCCTCAACTCCGCAGGATGAGGAGATGCCTGATCCTGCTGATGTTCACATTCACTCTACTCCCGAGTCTCGTGCGTCCCATGTTGATCCCCGTTCCGGCGATAGCCGTAGAAGGGGTTCTACCCCTAGCAGGCCATCTGGGGTTGGTGATAGTCCTGTGGATGACCCCAGAAGATATGCTAGAGCTAGTGGGGCTCCTGAGAGGATCGAGATATCGACTCCTCCAGCACTCAGGTCTCATTCTTCCGGTGAATCAGGTGACGCTAGGGCAAAGGAGGTGTTCGATTTGCACATCCAGGAGATGCTCGAGAGAGGTGAGGTTTCTGGCTCAGTTGCGAAAGCTTTCCATATTTTTGCTGACCAGATCAGGTTACTGAACGGTCAAGTGAGTTCCATGCGAAGGGAATGGAGAGACGAGAATCAACAGACGAAGGACAAGGTCGATCGACTGGCAGCTGAGGTTGCGACCCAATCTGATGCCGGGAGGATGCGAATGATAGTTCAACGGTTCGCAAGGGAAGTCATTCCCGATAGCAAGGCCATTGTGAGGCAAGCCATCGATGAGCAAGCCGAGGTCGTGGAGCAGAGGATTAACCTACTGTCCCACGAGGTCCATGAATCTGTCAGGGACAATGAGGCATCGACTGATCGGCTTCGCCTGATGATTCAGGAGAATAATGAGGCTGCCCGCAGAAGCCATGCTGCTTCTGAGGACGAGATCCTTAAGGATTTGGACAAGCTTGAGAAACGGATGTTCTCGGTAGAGAAAACCGTTGGGATGCGGACACCGGCAGGCGTATGGAACCCGATTCCTGTCGCGCATCCGTCCGATAGGGCCAGCGGCAGTGTAGTCGATGCAAATTTCAGGGAGTTAAACCTGAAGATCGAGAAAGCTCTCCTTGATCACGAGACGTTTGCCAAGTGGGCCTCTGAATCCATTGAAGGGGTCAAAGAAGAGCACACTCGTCTTGTTAATCGAGTGTCTAGACTGCAGAGTGGAAGGGGTTCTCAGGAGGTCGATAGACCATCAGGGCATGATTCCCCGCAGGACTGGCATGAGGCTGTTGACGAGATCAATCGGAAGATGCAGGATCTGGCTCGAGCGTCAGCGTCGGGATCATGACGACATCATTTCTAGGTTTGAAACCGTGAAGTCACATGTTGAACAGTATGAAGCGAGATCGGCAGTTGTGAATCGGGTCGTTGATGGCATCCAAGGACAGATCCGTAATCTTCCTGCCAGCAGTGACCAAGTGCAGCCTGCCGTTAGGCGAGAGCTCGGCACATTCCGGAGTACACTTGAAGGTGTTATGCGGAGAGTCAGCGCTATCGATGGTAACGTACGTAACCTTAGCGCCGCGAACAACAGAATCATGTCCCAGCTCTTTGAGATGGAGGGTCAATTTGACGAGGCTGCTGGCATTATTCAGGGTGTCCAGCAGATTAATGAAGCTCCTCCACAACCCAGAGAAAGACGGAATGTTGGTTACCATGCATTTGCGGGGCAAGGACATAGGATCAGGTCACCGACGCCTACACCAGGGGAAGGTGACGGCCGGGGTACTGGCCTGCCGGTGAGACCAGGCGGAGGCGTTGTTTTGCCTGATCATGTTTTGCCGAATGTGCCCGATAGGGTCGATCCTTCTCGCGCAGACAGGCATCCCATCTATCCCGTTAGGGAGAGGTCCGACAGCAGGAGCAGGAGGGTTCGGGGGTTGCCTGACAGGTCGCATTCGCCACCGGAGCGTGCAAGG